CAAGCCGCGCCCACCCGCGCCGCAGAAAGCGCCGGGACGCGACCGCGGCCTGGCCCTCGCGCGCCCTTACTCTGCGAGCCGTCGTCCACGCGGTCGAACTCCCAGTCCGGGGACAGGGTCTCCACCGCCATCCCCCCAGCGCCTCCCACAGCCGCGAACCCCACCAGCAGGGCCGCGACGCCGGCCTCGCCCCGCGCCTGTCCAGCACGTGACTTCCGGCCCAGGCCCCGCCCCCGCGCTCCCGGCCGGGCGGGCAGGCGGCCCCGGGGCGGACGCGTGGGCTGCTGGGAAAGCGAGTCTTCCGGCCGGGCCGGACGCAGTCGCCATGGCAGCGGCGGTCTCAGCGTGCCCTTAGTCTTTGCTGAGGCCTTGTCCTGCCTCGCTGCTCTTGTGGCGCTACGCTGTCACTTTCCGTTCCGCCTTGTGTCTCGTGTCTATTTTTCTTTTCTTTAAAACAGATGTGAAAATTGGATCATTAGGTGACTGAGCCTACCTCTACTTGTGGTGGTACCCAGTTTCCCTACAAGGGTAACGTTTGTGTATACCTGGATGGGAAGCCCCCGGGCTTTGCCCTTTGTTGTATAGGTCCTTCACAATGACCCATAGGGGTGGCACAGGCACGAATCCAAGTCGTACTGAGTTGAGGGCAGCAGTGGAGTGTTGCACCAAGGACTTCGATCAAATCATGCTCCTACAGCAATGGTGGTTAGATCTGTTAAGTGGGCATAAATCCTCAAATCTTCCCTAATATCAAGGTTGGCGAACTTAACTTTGATCGTCTCAATTGATCTCATTGATCTCACTTCTTCTGGATAGGCAGGTGAGCCACAGACTTCCAAAAAGTGCCAGTCCACGACCATGGTGAGAACCTAAAGCCCAGATGATACAATCAGTAAAAATGGCAGTGTATGGGTTGTAAAATAAAGTTTGGTTACCATAAAATACAGGACAAAGTGTCTGGTTAGTCCAGGGCGGGAATAAGAACATGGCTTGCACTCCAGAACACGGCTGGTAAAGGGCAACATTCCCATTAATCAGACCTGTAGCCAGGTCCAGTCCTCTTAAATATCTGTTAAAAGGCGTCAGATTGGTCAAAGGTTCTGCTGTGAGTGTGTTCTGGTGGAGTTTGTAACGTATGAGTTTAAGTGTGAGGCTGATGCACCAAGTTCATATTGCTTCTCAGCATCTCTTGTGCCTTGAGCCACAGCAGTGTATTTTGAACTTTTTGCCCTCGATTTGTGGTTTGGGGTTAAGAGAAGGTGACGTGTGTAATTCACCTGGCACAACGTGAAGTGGCGCAGTTAGTATTTTGCCAACCATCTCTTTTCCTTCATACTCATCCTTTATCACAGGTGGTTGAAATGAGATTTGAGGTCCAGAATCTAATAAACAGGTTTCTGTTTCGGTGTCATTCTTCATGCCAACACTGTGGTCATCAAAGGAGCAACATATATGCAGGGGATGAAAGCACCAAGAGACCTTCGCTTGAACTGTCTGTAGGCACATGCAGACCTCAGTCTTATATCCATGGTCTGTAAGTGCCCATATATCTTATCCTGCCAGGCGGGTAAGGGAACTTGAACTTAAGCACGCCCACACTGGGAGTTCCAGAAGTATCATAAGTGTTGCTTTAAAAGTGGTCCTGGCCAAAGCATTTCTCAGCATAAGCAGGAGGTTGAGGAGAAGCAGCCAGTACCGGTGATGGGTAAAGTGGTGGTTCTGAAGTTAGCAATAGTGCAAGCCAAGATCAATATGGCCTTGTGGTCCCTTTGTTGATACAAAGGAGGAGAGATTCAGTGCAGCAATCTTCATGTCAAGCCCTGAGACCCTGAAAGATAAACCACTGAGAAAAGTTAAATCTCATCTAGTTTACCACTTATCTTTGAGAGCTATTGTCCTGTGTGGTCCTCTTGGTGCTTTAGCTTCTCTGCTGATCTCTGCACTTTGTGTTCCAGATGCACCCCTGTGAATTTTGCTTCTATCTGCGAAGCTCTGGATGTCTCCTGGACTTGTGACACAATGTTTCTGAATGTGTCTGTACTTAGCTCCACCCCTGTCTCTTCTGATGCTGTCTCTGTTATTTCCACCCGTTGTTCTGTCGTCAGCAGTTCTGTCATCTTTACATGATCACTGGCCTCCTTCCTTGATGTCACTGCTTCATGAACCCTGTCCACTAATACTCTTGGGCCCTTCACTTCCGGAGCTTTCCTTACCTTGAGTTTCTAGACTCATCGACATTTATAACCCTGAACTTATCTGCAAGGGTTTCTGATGCTCTTATGAGTATTTTCCCTGACATTATGTCGATGTTTTTTAATGAACTAGTGATCCACCAAAGATGAGGAAGCCCCTTTCTGGCCCAAAGCACGCAGAAGGTTCCAAATTAGATCCACCTGGCTTGTAGACTGTCTCAGGTGCTCATGGTGAGAGACTCAGGTCTTGTTTGAGGCTCTGAGCACTATTTAAAGTCCCTCTGCATCCTTTACATTAGGATTCGCCTCTTGATTGGTGGATTCACCAACTCAGCATCCATCTCTTTCTCAGGTATATGTGACCACAGTTCTTTTATTGACTTATGGTCTCAGAAAGTCAGCTCTGCCTTTCTTTCCCTGGTGTTTGCTACCTTGAAAAGCTTTGGGAAGTTAACTGGTGCAAGCAACTCACATCCCTCCAAGCACAAGGTTATAGATATGGAAACATGTCTGCCCATGTTGCTCAACAAGAGCTTTTTCTATATCAACAAACTTCATCTCCTGGTCAACATGGTAATATGTAGTGTCATTTCTGCAAAGGTAGCAATTAGCTTTGAAGGAATGAGCTGTGAAGGAATATCCTGGTGGGCCAACCAGAATGAGCACACTCACCCCAAGTAAACTTGACAGTATTCTCATGTCCAGACCACAGCTAGCAAGCCACAACAGAGATCCTCTGGACCTAAGTCTGTATCCAGATCAATGACAGAAACTCCCCTGGATCTAAGTCTGCATCCAAATCAGCACTGGGAGGATTCACGCTGGTTTCACAGCTGTAGACAAAGTGTTGAACCTCTCTCTTATTTGCTGTAATGGGTTTTCCTGTGGTTTCCACACAAAGCAGTGCACTAGAGCAGGGCATACTTTATATAGTTTATTCTTGAGGTCAGAGGTCACTTCATTTCTCTCGATTGCCCTTTGCTTCATCCAGCGATGCCCAGCCTGCACAAATAAAGTCCTTGATGCCCGGTAGGGTGTCATAGAATTGTGAAAACATTGCCAGAAGAGTCATAAATGTGACAGCCACAGCCCCACCTCGTGTGGTTGGATGACCTTCGAAGGACGGGCCATGGCTGTAGCAGCAGCACGGAGCACATACTCAGGAGATGGAATTGTGACCTGCTGAATGTTGGTCTCTCCTAGCTCCAAAGTGAATGACATTCTGTCCTCTGGCAGCTATTCTTAATGCTTGGGGCAGTTGTTCCCTCCTCTGACCTGAAAGAGACAGGCTGGTGGGGAGGCAGGAAGGATGGATGTCCAGGAGGACGCTGTCCGTGCTGCTTCTTGAAGTCCAGACACGAGCTCCTTTCCTGCTGCCGCCATCGGAGCTCCTGCCCTCTCCTACGCATCTCTTGTGGATTGTTTTTTTTTTAGAAAAGACCTTTCAAGAAAGGAGAAGGATTTCATGAATGCCCTGAAAGGGAATCCTGCTACTGGGCTTACTTTGCGCTTACAGGGTTTGGGGGTGGGGCTTTAAGAGGCAGGGCAGGGATAATGCCACAGGGCTCTTTGGGGAGCAGGGACTTGTGTCACCCTTCATTCTCCATCCTTACCCGGATTTGCATACGAATGCTCTTTGCAGTGTGGTTTATAATACGTGCTAATAGAAAACTAAGCAAGCATCAAAAGGAATGACAGAAAACTTTTTAAAAAGAAAGAAAAATACCACAAAATGGAATAATAATACAAAGCTTGATACATCCATGCTGTGAATTACTAGAGAGCTGTTAAATGAAATAGGTCTATAGTGGCCTGAAAACCTGATGAGAGGAAGTTGCAGAATAATGCATATTTAGGGCTACATTTGTATAAGTTGTATAAACACGCTTCTGTGCACGTGTTTGCAAAAGCGTGGGAAGAGAATTCAAGTCACACTAAACAAGGAGAGCGGTTAACCGGGAGAGAATTAAGTGTCTCTCGATCTTTAGCAGGACAGATTTATGGAGGTTTTACTTGGGTAATACTATGAGGCACCGAAGCTGCTCATTGTCAAGTGCTGTCTTGAAGGGCATAGTTTTGAGATGCTGTGGTTTGTTTTGTTTGTTTTGCGGGACTGGGAATTAAACTCATGGCCTGCAATTCCTTCTCATCCTCTGACTAGCTAACTAACACCACTGTGCCCAGGGATACTGTGTACAGTTTGGCTTCACGTGCTTCATCCTCACTGTGAGAAATTAAGGTGGAAATTTGTGCAACTAGGGGTATGGTTTAGCAAAAGAGCCAGCAGGAGGCTCTGGGCTTAATCTCCAGCACCAAGTGGGTTAAAAGAAGAAAGGAAACCTGTCCAACTGTGGTACAGAGGTGAGCCTCCGGGAAGTGGTTAGAATTAGACAAACTCTTTATGGTGGTGCCCCCAAGTGAATCATCTTGGCTTTATAAGAAGAAGGAGAGAGTAATCTGGTACATAGGGACCTGTTTGCAATTGCAGCACTCTGAAAGGCTGAGGAGGACTCCAGATTCAAGTCCGGACTTGCTATATAGCAGCATAGTGAACATACATGTACCCTCCCTGTATCTTGGGGTGTTATACCCTTCTCTTCTAATAAGGAGGCCACCACCATGTGCAGATCACTCACCCTTGGACCAGAACTATGAGCCAGAATAAACCTCTTATTTACCCAGCCTCAGATAATTTGTGACAGTGATGAAAAACAGATTACTACATGAAACCATTACATCTATGGTGGACCAAATATTTACTGAATGCTCCTATGTACCAGGTACCATGCTAGATGTAAAAAGTATTAAACAAGAACAACAGATCCCTACCCCTTTGAGACATGCGTTCTTTGTGCTTACTGGGCATTTTATTTACTTATTTATTTACTCTTACTTTTTTGTTTTAAAACGGGGTATTGCTATGTTGCTCAGGCTGGTTTCAAAACTTGTGGGCTCAAGTAATCCTCCTGCCTCAGCCCACCAATGAGCTGGGACTACAGGCAAGTGCAT